TTGTTAAGGGATGCATCCACCGTATCGTCTCTTTTTCAAACGACTTAATATCGCAACCATAATTTTTCCAAATCTTATTGCCTAAAGAAATCTTAACTTCGGTTGTGAGCTGTGTACGATTTGAAGAGCCTAACCCCTGAAGAACGATAAACCTATCCGATATTCTCGTCCCGGCATTGACGTGGAAAAATATCGATATCGAAACACGCGTGAGCGTACCAATGCGTTGCTACTTCGTCGTCAATCGTTCCTAAAATTTCTCGACAAATAATCGATGGTATGGATCGGGAAGGAAGTTTATGGTTTATCATTCATCGTCGAAAATCGGGCGATCATAGTACATCGACGTTTTTACAAAAAATTCTGAACCCAGACAGGCGTATTGTAATATCCGGATTCCCAATGTGTACAATTATAACTGAACGAGTGTGTAAAGCGAATAATTCAAACATACACATACACACACACACACACACACACGTATAAGTAAATATGTACGCAGAATAATCGAGGAAATTATGTCAAAACTTTTGTCATGAATATTTAAACACACGAGTATAATACGTTACACCGCTACTGTATGGAAGTTGCCTAAATTCGTACGCGTATGCGTTACGATTTGTGTAAAATAATGCGGTGCAATATACGAGTATATATATATATATATATATATATATATTGTGATGCGTAACGGACCTATAATAATTTAAATAAATTACACCTTGACCTAATTACACGGCGCGATGATATATTTTACCGCGAGTCATACGCCGCATAAATTAATTTATTATTGTTGGGCATCTATACGGTGACCGATACATGTAAGAGTAGTATGTGCGCGTACAAAAGCTTACATAGTAATTTCCTTAAAATCGGTTTGTTAGTCGAACGGTATTATACTTTGTTCTTATATGCGTGCGCGGTGTACGCCCGTTCCGAATGGTGTAAGTTTTAACAAGAAACAGACACTGAATGATGCATAATTTTATGCATGTCTTAACCAATGGATCCGAAACGACGGAATACATAAATTGTACACTTTAACGCGAGTAAAAAATGTTTGGAAAAAGTCACGTGTATGCGAATAGTTCGAGAAACAATGCGGATAAAAACCACTAGTATTTATAACAACACGGACTCGTTCGAGCGAAGAACTTAAAGAGTTCAACAAGGAAATATTTCGATGACGATTGTTTTACATAATGTTTTATCGATGTACCTACGAAAAATCCTTAGACGTTTGTGTTTTGATAACGAAGCGAAAAATATTGTAATTCATTGGACTTTAAACAGTCAAACACACATACAGAGAAATGAGTATTTTGTGAACGATGTAACGGTATTGTTGTGTATCGCAATATACGAGAAAAGGTAGAGAAATGTAAGTTGTTGTGCGGAAGTCGATAATACCGCTATGAGCTGGTGAACAAATATTTTAATAATTGGGCTTTTGCTATACACACACTCGCATGTATACGTAGACGATACAAAAAAAGGTCATTATTATTAATTTTGGTTCAGTTTTAAAATATAAGTAGTTTATTCCGAGGAACCTTGAACCTGCTTAAAATTATTGAAATATTATTGAACGACGGATATCGAATGTTTTCGGCTCAATGCCGGGTAATCGAGAAAATAATAATTTATAGAGATCTTTACTAATTAAAAGTGTAATTGTCAGTTTTCTGGAAACCAATGAGAAATTCTGAATCAAACATACTTATAGAATAGCAGGGGTTTTTCTACAAAAAAGGATAAGCAAGATTTAAGTCGAACAAAAACTACAACAATAACAATAATAAGAAAAAAGTACTTAATATACGTACTTAATAACAACGAACTTAATAACATGTACATTGTATAAGTTTTTGTATTGATGATCGAATAGTAAACGAGTGTAACGTATGTATGGGTTATACAAAAGTTGATAGAAACGTTAAACGTGAACGATCTCGCTTACATATACAAATCGGAAATCAGTCACTTTGAATTAAATAATGTAAGTAACAGTAATTTTATTTTAATTTTTTTTTTTTTTTTGTTAGTGAAAATTATTTAAAACAACTCGCATCATAAGATTGTTTGCAGAGCAGCGGCCTATAATAATTTTTATATTTTTATAAATGTGTTTGCCTTTCGATACACACTGCAATGATACTTGAAAGTTTACGTTATGCCGAGTTAAAACGATAAATAAATTTTATTTATAACGTACCGACGATCAGCGGATTATTTCCGAAAACGTCTGGCCGGGTAAAACCTATATATTTGGCGATGGAAAATCCACGAACAGGGTCAATTACTTTTTCACCGAAAAATCTAATTTACAGATTTCGGGCCGACCCGTGACCTCGTGGTACGGTGCACGTCGTATTGCAACGGTGGATATCGCGAAAGACCCCGCCGGGATGGATGGACGAGGGCGAGTGGGTACAGGGCCGCCGCCGCTCGCTATGGTTTTTCGAATTTTGCCGCCGCCGCCGCCGCCGCTGTCAGTCGACCGCAGCTGAATAAAAGCGTCTGATTAAAACGCCGCTGCAAAGGTATCGAATGACCGAGTGTTGGTTAATCATTAAATTTCTGCTTTCCAAAGCTTTGCCGCGCGGCACCTTTAATTTGGAAAATTGGATTACGCGCCGAATGTAATACACACCGCATACGGATAGCGCCCGGATAAATTAGCGGGTCCCGGGTCGCCTATTGCATACTAATGTTTTGGCTTTTATTCCGTTTCCCCGAGATACGTACGCGGTGGTGCGCGTGCACGTGTACTGCGTAATACATTACGATCGCGTGTGCCCGTATTAATACGATATCGGTTGCTCGCACGGTTCCCCGGTGTACGAGCGTGTCCGATCAAGGGGTGGACGGGGGAGACAACGTTCATACCCCCGCGTGGAACAGCCAAAGGGGTCGGCAAAATGTTGACGGTTAGATCCCGAACGAAAACGAATCGAGTTCTTCGCACTCTCCGCGGAAAACTATTCACGAACGGTGGCAAGCGAACAAGATTATACGAAAAACGAACGTAATACTGTACAAATCGTTCATGTTGTTCAGTAGCGTATACGATTCACATCCAATTAAGGGCGTTTCGTTTGAAATATCGAGATATTGAGGTATTGGATTGGACGGCGTCGGGACGTTCAGACCGAAGGGTACCGCCAATCGGTCCGACGAAAGACAATTTTCCATCGCTTTGTTTAGGCGAGTGAAATCCGGTTGTTTATTATTCTGGATTCCATATCGACGGCAAACATTGTGCAATAGGGCACCGAAACGGGGAAAATCAATTGCGAGCGTACCGTGCGGCTTTTTAATGAACATAAATATTTGTTCTTACGATATTATTACTCGAATCTCGAACCATCGCGTTCGTAACGTAACCGCTCACGCCGGTTGCAAGCGCACGTGTACCTGCTCAAAACGACGCCCGTCCCTAATTTTTCGGTGAACCATAAAACACGTGGCTTAAGCCGCCTCCTCTTGACCGGGTTAGATTATTGTTTTTGTGTACGCGGTCGGAATGTCGTTGCACGTTCCGTAATATATTGTACAACGGGTCGGCGGCGCCGGACCAGGGACAAACGCACAAGAACGAGCGATGGCCGGTAGTAGGGCGCGGATGAGGGGACTGATGGCGGCGGGGCAGGACTAATATTTTCGCAGGACTTCAATAGTACAATAACGCGTACGAAATAATACCGGTGTGCGTTCGCAGACGCCGCGCGCTGCACGGTAAATCTGATTATTTCGTGTGAAGAGAAATAAACCCAACCCTCAGGACACCTACTTATATTATATTATACTATTTACATAACATATATATATATATATTATGCACGTGCATTATGATGATAAAATATTCCCGTAACGTGCGCGGTGTCTTCGGGGAAGACCCTACCGTCGTTGCCGGTACGCCGTACGTACCGCGGGGACGTTCGGACGGTCGCCGTGTACACCATGGCCCGCGCACGCGGATTGTATTGATTTTTTCCGAAAGAAATTCATAACGGTAAATCGATGGTTCTCTGCGAATAGGATTTGATATCGGTTGGGTTGGAAGTACAACGGTTTTCTCGCGGATCACATAACAGACGCGCGTATCGTTGCAATAATAATTATTTACGATTGGCGCGGCTATCACGCGGGACACGGTGATTTATTATCACCGTTTTGACCGTGATTTATACGCGTATAACACTTGAACGACCGGCGCGTTTCGGAGTTTTCGCGTTTTATTATTATTATTTATTTATTTATTTTTTTTTTATTGGAAATAATAACAATATTTTATTTGATTTTTCGTCCGAACGTGCTAGTCGGGCTAGAACAACGGTGGTGTACTTTGAATTTTTCAAACGGGTCGAGGATTCCATTCACACGGACCAATACGTTTTGAATTGTCTGATTATACCGCTTTTATTGTTGCACACAGTATGACATCGATGCGAACCGTATTCGCCCTCTCCGCCTCCACTCAATGACACCTGGTAAGAGGGTTAAGCCTGATTCGGTACACACTATAAATTGATTAATAAACGTAAATAATACCGTTGGCGTAACTATTGCGAGCATATAAGTCACATAAAATATCCGGAGGGCACGTTTTTTTTTTTTTCGTTTCATTTTATCCTTTGAGTTTAATTGTTTTACGATTAATACTGTACACAATATTCAATACACAATCGCGCGAACGATTTCGAAAAGGCGCTCAGATATCGCCTACCGGAACTTATCCGTACGATCGACGCGGACTGGACAAAGGAGAAACCGACAGTCACACCACATGTATCTGATATAACGATAATAATAATAATAATAATAATAATATAGTGGTGAAAACCGCTCGGACCTTTGCACGCGGTGCGCTCGAGAGATTCTCGAGCCTTTACCGAGAGATATAACCGGAGAGGGTCTCTCTCTCTCTCTCTCTCTCTCTCTCTCTCTCTCTCTCTCTCTCGAAAAAACTAATCTAAACGGTAGTAGTGTTCGAGTACCTTTATGCTGTCGTAGCAAGCGGTGACGCGACCGTTTTGAACTTCCACGTTGGCCGCCGGATGGGCGAACTTGCAATCCGTGTCCGGTCTGGAGCACTTGTTCCGCTGGTACTCCCTGCATACCTCCAACTGCAACCATCTGGAGTCCTTGCCGTTCAGCAAGTTGTTCATGTTGACCACGGCCATCTTATCGTCCGGTGGCGCGGATTATTATTTGTTTTTCCTTCTCGTCGAGAAGCGCTGTCGCCCGGGACGTAACCGGGTGTTGTCTAGAGGTGCGCGCGCGCACGCGTTCTTCTCACGGCCAAACGTAATCTACGGCCGCCACGTGCACGGACGAACGCGGTACGGTTTCAACTGCACGTTATCATTTATTTTCCAGCTGGCCGGACGGCGACGGCTGGTTGCGGGCGGCTGGCTGGCGGGCGGCGACCGCTCGTTCCGCTCGTTTATTCGTGGACGTCTGTTTCCTCGTCTCTATTTTTACTCCGCGGACGGAGCACAGCACGCTAGGCGGCGGCGGTGGTGGTGGTGGTGGTGGTCCGGAGAAGCACGAGCACGTCAAGCGGCGAGAAACCGTGTCCGGCGCGGCGCTCCAACTCTGCGAAACAAAAATGAACGATAAAAAATTGATACGTTTCCGTTGCCGCGGCAGGCGCGTCGTTACGACAGTAAAAAGCAATTGCACGCCGCGGCGCGCGGAGGATAACGGGCGGCGAGCGGCGGCGCGACTATTGGTGGGGTTCGGGGGTTAGTGAACCCATCCACACCACCAACCCCCCCCCCCCACGAAATTTTTCCGCGGTTCTTACAAATTCTACGCGCGGAAAAAAACACCGCGAAGACGCGAAACGGCCGGTTGATATGAAACATGAATGTTATTCGTTTTATAATAATCGATAACGCGGACGACATGGAACGTTTTGTAACGTTCCGTTCGACTTCGGAACGCCAACAACCTTGCTGCTACACGATTTCTCGGCGGTCGATTGTGCAATACTTTTTTTTCATCGCGATATCGAATAGAAGTTAAACGGTTTGATTTGTGATTTAAATATTTTCCTCGTAAACGAAAACTTAATCGTACTCCATGATCCCTGTCGAACACCCGCGCGGTAAACGCTTATTTTTTCCGAACCCTGGTTGCCCTGGTCGCGCCACTGATGGCGAGCGACGAGAAGCGCGCGAAAGGTGTAAAAAATTACTGACCGCGGCGGAAACAATACGAACAACCGGGTTTCTTGACGGCGGGCTCTTGGCGGCAATAACAACGGGTCCGCGCGATCGCGTTTCATCAATTATTGTTTTAACGTTCGCCTACGTCGTTTCCGCGACAGTAAAAATAAATAATACAGTCGGCCGCCGGGTACAATAAGCGTAATGGCGGCTCTCGATCGCACCGTGATGAATAAACGTGCGCGTGTGTACGAGAAATTGCATCGACGTTCTACGTGTTCAACGCACGCACCCGCCGCCAACTGGTCCGTTTGTTGTTATTGTTCGGCCGCGCGCGTACGCCACGTAAATAATACGTACGCGGGATAGGGGGTGTGCGTAAACATAGCGCGTGCATAGGTAATGCGGTAATTACCGCGGAGGGTAACAATAACGCGGCCGCGGCGCCGTACGGTCGTGCATTAAATATGAATACGATTTGCACGTGTACCCGGCGACGAGGTGATGGACGTGTTCGTCGACGGTTCAAACGGAGTTCGGGAGAAAAACAAAAAAAAATCACCGACGGCTAAGAGTACGCTAATCACTTCGGAACGCGGTACGTTTTCGATGGAAATAAAAAAAAAAAAAAAAAAACGACCGAGGACCTTTTACAAACGGTCGCGTTCGACGTGCGCGCCGGTGAAATGCACCCCGGGAGCCATCCGGAATTCGGTAATTAAATTACGGTAAACGCTCCGGAAATAGACGAATTCACGCGGTACGAAACGGCGGAATATGGTTTACGTTGTTTCGCTCGTTCGTTCTAGATCGTTTAACTACGCTTTCCACTCGCCCGGACCGTCGTGCTCGAGCGTCGGTGTGAGTTTCAAGTAAAAGTGATATAGATATAAATAAATAAATAATAATAATAATAACACCCCCGATCCAAAAAGTTTGGACGCTTTGAATATTCGTCGCGGGAGGGATTGCGTTGGTGTGATAACGTTTGCGGCAGCGACGACGTACGACGATCGAACTACGATCCTCGCGTACGTATGTGATCCTCGACGCGTTTAAGGAGTTTTTCCAGGACACTAATAACACCGGTGCAACGAGAATTACAAGGATATTCTGTACGCTGCCGATGACTTCGCCCTCGCGGCGTATCGGTTCGTAGCGCATTACGGAAGCGAGCACGCGCACGTACGCCAGTGTTTTCGCAAGAGACTTTTTTCCGTTTTTTTTTATTCCGTCCGTATTGGATTTCGGAATTGTTTTCAAAATATTAATAATAGAAATTGCTGTGCACCATTGGAGCGTACGCGTTCTCCCCGGTTTTTGTGAAATGCGGAATTTATTGCGGCGGTAAAAGTCGTAGAGGAATATAACGCGTATTTATGTGGGGCGCAACATACCTGTAACGTAGTGCGCGCTACGACACTCTTTTACGAGCCCGTAATTCATATCGTGTATTGCAGTGCGCAGGGAGCCGTTCGCGTGTGCATGATAATTTAATTCATTAACGCGTCGTACGGAACACAAGACGCGGTGGAAATACGTTTTATTATTTTCGCGGCGAATGCGCGTTTCGAGGTTTCGAAAACCGTCGCCCGTATTCCGTGCTTTTCGAGTTGGCCATTTGCCCGGGGTTCGTGCGCGTGGCGGTGCGGGTGGAAAAGAGTCGGTGGTGGTGAGGTGGTGGACCGTGACGAGTGTAAATTTTTTTATTTTTTAACTTCTCGAGAAAGGCACCGTCGCCCCGCGAGCGGAAGGAAGGAAATAGTCGGTGGTAGGGGCGGCGGCGGCGCGAGGAGCGTGACACGAATTATAAGATTGCGGCGAAAACGCGTGTACGAGAATATAATCATTACAAAAGGGACGTGGTCGTGTCGACGACGGCGGAACGTGCTCGAGAATTATTAAGAGCCGCCCGAAGACGTCGACACACGCGCGCCGAAGCCGAGTGTATTTGGAGTACATACAAAAACGGTCTGTGTGCGCCGGCATAACGAATAGTGTAAATTCAGGTAATACAATAAGGTATACACGTGCGGCGAAAGGACGTTCGTCGCCGTGAAAACAAATAACTCGTTTAGGAGATCGCGCGAAATTCGAGACTCGGATCAGCGCGACAACGAGCGAGTACGTGTACGATGTCGGGCGTACTGCTCGCCGCCGCCGATAAAAAAATAATAAAAAAAAAAAAAAAAAAAGGATGCTACGGACCTTTCCGTGAAAAAAACTAAAAAACTATGGTAATTGAATGCCGATATGTAACACCCCGGTAACCAACGCGATATTTTTTTAACGGTTATAAAAAAAAAAAAAAAAAACTCGTCAACCGATCACGGCGGGGAAACCGAAAAAAAAATGAAAAATCTATTTTCCATGATCATTGATACGTATATGTATTGTACCTATGATTCGTTTCAACAATACTACGATGGTAACGATAAATTATATTTTTAACAGCAAGACATTCGGTCCGCGTCGGAAAGAGAAGATAAAATGCGATCGGTCGAAAGACATCAATTATTTACTGATGGGGAATTTAATCGTTTCGGTTTTATCGCTGGTGGTGTGGTCACGAAACAATTAACGGCTAATGGCTGCGCTTAAAATAATTACTAAAAAACACGACGAACGTTTACGCGCGCTGTTTCCAGCGCTCGCGTTTAAACAGTTTTCGGCTAAAGTTGAACGTCCAACGCTTGCAGTGTAATGAAAACGGCCGTTGTGGGCGTTATTTTCTGGAAAAATCGAACTAGCCTGATTTCAACACAGCAAATATTTGGTAGCAAAACATAACACGAGACTATAGACATAGATATGCGCGTATAAACTGCGCGGCACTGTCGAGTTGATCTGTTTTCGTTCAATATTGACCTTTTCGATTTCACTCGAACAGGGCGTAGGAGGATTTGTGTTTCGTCAATAAGAAATGTTTTTCATCGGCCACAAGTCGTACGGGCTTTCGCGAGTTCCGTATTTTATGCGTACCCGGTACGTTTTCTAAACACGGATATTATTTTCCACGTTGTAATTGTTTTATATATTATTACCGCTTCGGACACGTCCCGTTACGTGCAAAGCCGTTCGTCCGAGACCACTTGCGGTATCAACCCGCAAATCCGTTTATCGACGTTATCACGCGCGGAACGTTACACGCCGGACGGTGCGGACGACGTTTGGTTAGCCGCGGACACGCGTTCGCGACAAATACAAAACTTGCACGCAGGATAACAGTCAATATCTTCGTGGCGATCGTAGTGGTGGTATTGTCATTTGTCCGGGAACGATAAATCTTGGAAGACGTCGGTCGAAAAATCAAATCAAAGGAAACCGAAATAATAACCGAACTCCGGCGATTTCCGACGCACAACGCTACGTGACCGTAGTCCCTGCAGCGAACGCCGTCCAACAGCCGCAGTCCGCCGCCGAATAATATTATTGTTATGCGTACGCGCGTACTTATCCCCCCGCGGACGGTTATTATTCTCGCGGAACGGACCGCGGTGGTTTTTTTATTTTCCTTTCGGCAGCGAAGTCATTTGCATTCATTACCGTTGGTGGCGGTGACGGTGGCGAGAATAGCGGTTTAATAAAAACGTTTCGATACAATAAATTATTATTCGCGCGCCGAAACGTTTTACGTAATCTCGTCTCGCGCGCGACTTTTCTTCTCGAGATTTTTTTTTTTTTTTTTATATATATTTGTGCGGATACTAATACAATGTGAAACTATACTCGACGAAACACACACACACACACACACATCCAGATCGAATGTATGGAGGAAATGAGAAAGATTATGGTTCAAAAAAACTAATAACGTAGTACCAACTATACGTTTTATGAAATTATTAACGTAAGCAATATAGGTCGGGTGAAGACACTAATAAAACTATGGAATTTCAAAGCGTGTAACAAAAAATGTTATTAATTCACAAAAACAGTTATTTATTTCGTACGAATGAAAAATATCGGAAAATTGGTTTATGTTCAGTAGAGACGATTTTACAATATCTTCACGTACACCTGTCGTAATATCATCGATACCATTTCATATCTTTAGATTTCGTTGGTCTCGGTAACTTTTCTGGTTATCTTAATTTCGTCTAGACATATAAATATATAAGCAGGTCTATACGCAATACTTGTGGACGGAACGAATGGATGTGTATAATATCGAGAACGAAATCGAGGAGAAAAAATTTCCGTGAACCTCCTTTGGCTCCTTGGCCGCCTCGGCTATCCTGGTTTCGTTTCTTCGATCGTACACACACACACACACACACACACACACGCGCGCGCGTGCGCTACTACTTCTACTACTACGATGAATGTTACCGATCCACCGCCGAAGGTGAACGCTGTGACGATCGATGTGTGCGCGACGGCTCTCAGCTAAACGGAAAAAGGGAAAGAAAAACAAAACAAAGC